AAATAATATACATATACATCTATTTAAAGATTCGGACACGTACTTCACAATAGAAGGGCATATCCAAGATGTGATTCGAACAGGGTAAAATAGACTGGTCTAAAAGTTTCCAAGTTAGGTTTCTTTGAAACTGATCTAATCGTAAAACAAGCGGAACTTAATTATTTGGATAAAGCAAACCATCGATGTGCAAGTTTTTTTTTAGGGAGTTGTCTATAATAGGTCTGTTCTCACAAAGAGTATCTGATAGTTTGCAAATTCGTCCGTACATGTTTTCAATGCCGTCATTCGAAGATAATTCGGTAACTTAGCTGAGGGATATTTTCTGACAGTTTCCAAACATTAAGAGACCCTTGTGAGAACAGACCTGAGAACTATACAGAATCAAGACCGTCAATGATAGTGGTGGTATTACTAAGTACAATTGGCTGCAACGTACTTTTATATGACAGAACTTTAATTTTTGTAGCCTTGAAGCAGAGAAGGTTGGAGTCGCATCATGATTCAATGGCAAACAAGTCGTTGGAGATGGTTCTATGAATAGCTATAATATTCAGGTTGCTCCAAGTGGAACTGGGATCATCAGCAAAAAAACAGATCTTATCGCTGATGTCTAGACTAGCAACGTCGTTGATGAACAACAAAAATAATGTTGGACCCAACCTGCATGAAGACATCGTCGTATTATGTGTTGGTACAAAAGAGCGCAGGTCAAAAGAGCGCAGGTCAAAAGAGCGCACGGACGAAAGAGCGCACGGACAAAAGAGCGTAGGGTCAAAAGAGCGCATGGAGAAAATAGCGCACAGACAAAAGTGCGACGGAGCAAAAACGCGACTGGATAAAAGCGCGATCGACAAAAACAGACTTACTCAAACTAACCCAAACTAACCCGTCCGCCTAGTGCGATCTGATCTTCGTAAGTTAGCGTTTTATTTAAAAAAACAGTCGATTCATTTATAGCGTAGCGTCCCTTGACTGCGCCTTGTTTTTTAAATAAAATGCTTACTTACGAGGACTAGATCGCACTAGGCGAACGGGTTAGTTTGGGTTACTTTGAGTAAGTCTGCATAAATAGTAACAATTAGTAATCTCTGATATACATCCATATTATTCAAATGCTTAATTACGTTGAAGCCATCAATACGCGCTTATTGCGCTCTTTCGGCCTTGCGCTATTTTGTCCGTGCGGTCTTTTGAACCTGCGCTTTTTTTTGCATGCGCTTTTTTGACCCTGCGCTCTTTTGACCCTACGCTCTTCTGACCATGCGCTCTGTTGACTCTGCGCTCTGTTGACCCTGCGCTCTTTTGTCCGTGCGCTCTTTTGACCTGCGCTCTTTTGACCTGCGCTCTTTTGACCTGCTCTTTTTTGTCCGTTCGCTCTTTTTACCTGCGCTTTTTTGTACCAGCGCCGTCGTATTAACCCTCACAGCTGTTTTTTGTTGTCAAGATAAGATTTAAACAATTTCAGAGGAGAGCCTCGAATTCCGTAGTAACGCATCTAGTGCATCTTGTTCAGGCTGGAATGGATATTATTGAAGACAGAATCAATATTGCATTTGTCGTTTAGAAATCCAAATTGGTGAGTAGTTAGTGTGCAATATTTATACCATAAATAATAGAAGATTTTCTTTAAACATTCTTTCAATGATTTTGGATAAAGTGGGAAAAAGTGCAATTGGACGATAGTTCGAAGCTTGGTCTCTACCCCCACACTTAAATATGCAGGTAGGGCAATAATTATAGCCGTTTTGAGACGATCTGTTAAGACTCCTTTTTAAAGTGAGTCCATCAATCCAAGATGAAATTTTTTTTGATGTCCATAACTATTGTATTGAAAAGCTCTGATGTTTCTACGGGTGTTAAGAAGAAACTGACTAAATAATTCATATTAGTATTAGAAAGATATTAGGGCCAACGCGAGAAGGAGCTACAGTGGCCATTAATTTTTTTGCCACATTTACTTAGTATTAATTGTTTAGGTTCTCAGGTCTTCTTGTTGGTTGTTTTTTTTTTTTCAAACAACTTTGTGCATTTTTTCCATGTTATCTTCCTTATTGGGTTTTCAATGCTTGGCTGATAAACCTGAGTATTTCAAACACAACCATTCATTTTTGGGTTTTCGTGCTTTTTAAAGTCAGTCTTCTCATATCTAGACATATTCTATGATAGATTTGGGGGGCAAAAATGAAAATTAAAGAGTATAATTTCTGAAGAGTCTAAGTGCCAAAATTTTGATTTTGGGAAACACGAGAAAAATACTACAAACATGCTTATATAAAGCTTTTATTTACATCCTGCACCAACTTTAAATCAATATCAGAACCAAATACATGTATTGTTGCCACTTAGACCCTTTTTGATTGTATTGGGGTTGAGACTTGGAACCATTTTCAAACATTATCCAAAAGATTATCAAGATGGCACTTAGACCCTTTAGAAGTTATACTTTTCAATTATCTCAACATAAAAGGCATGCAGTTCACTCAAATAAATATTGTTAACCGAAATAAATATTGTATATAAAGTCAAAAAATTAATGATTTATGGAATTGTACCATGACCACAGGACCGCGTCATAGACTTGCAATTTTGACAAATATTGTAAATATTTTTGCAACTAGGAGCCAATTAATTTATGTTTTTTTTTTTTTAACACCGCCGTCGCAGGGGTCGCCAGACGGCGTGGGTTTTTGAACAAACCACAAAATACAGCGGTGACCTGAGGCGTCTTATAAATAAACAATATATCTACCTATTAGGTATATGCTTTGTTATTTGAAAATAAATTATAAATTCGATGTTCGTTTAACTGGTATATAGGTACTGCATCCAAACTATTGATAAAACTAACTGGATAATAATAAATTAATAATTTAGATAACATTATTGATAAAACCTTCACAAACAGATGCAGTTACGTTTTGGTTAGTTTGGGTTAGCTTCCGTTTATACTGTCGGTTAGTAGCGATCCCTAAAATATTGGTTACTGAATATAATGGTCAGAAACGGAACACGAAAAAATACTTACTTCAGTTCCGATTAGCAGATAATTTTGACTTAGGTATATTATAATCGGGGGTTGTTAATTTTTCCACCAATTTCGAAAGTGGAGTAATATTTTCTTTGAAAGTTGGGAGTTTTTATCTCTCATTAGTAAGGATGCATTTGGAGTTTCTTAACTTAACCTAACCCTAACAACTGACAATTATTATTAAAAATAAACCTTTTTCTACGACAAAATAAGATAGATGACTCCAAATCACGAAAAGCAAAAAGGAACATATTGCGCATGCTCGCTCTGGCTCTTGCTAATGACGAGGTGGTGCTTCCGGAGGCAGCTCTTTTGATTTCCGAACGCATGTAGAGCTGCTCTTTTAGCTCAAAATGACAATACACGAACGCATCAGGAGTGCTTAGTGCACTTGGAGTTTATAATAATATATATTTTCGAAAATCGTCCCAGCTACTCCCGACCACAGATGAACCAACTGGATCAACATTGGATAATTCTTGAACACTTGAACTGTCAAACATCCGAAACAGATTTAACCAGAATACCCGTTTTAAGTTTAAAAACATACCTAGTCCGAAATTAAGTCCTACTTTTAATTTGATTTATAATATCTAAGAAAAAATTTAAAACGAACAAATTAGCCCACACATAAAGATTTTTATGCTCGTAAGAATAAAATGGATCACTTCTGTGTCGAGTGTTGACGACAATAAAGTCCAAATTGTGGACCGCTTCAAGATAAAACATATTATCAGACTACTAGCCCTGCACAACAAATTGAATCGATGAAATGCATGAAAAGATATTAGCGATGGAAAAGTGGTGCACTTCAATTAGGCCCACAGGAAAAAAAAATACATTTCACGATTCCTATTTTTATTTTTAAAATTTCGATTCAGTATGTGTATATATCCGCTAGTTTGGCTAAAGAAAAAAACCTATCAGCTCCAGTTTGAGTCAAACAAATTTCTTTTGCAATGACGTTCCATGCAACATCTTACAAAAAGTCACGTAAGTCTGGTCCTTTCTAAAACTTTTTAATCAAAACTTCCTCTGGACAGCCCCACGGCCCTCACGGGAACATATCAGCCCACTTACCCTCCAAAAATAAATTGAATCGGTGCAATACATAGAAAGTTTTTAGCAATTTGGCTCACAGTGTATTTAATGTGGAACTGATCATTTTTATTTTATTAGATAAATGAACAAGTGAGAAATTTGCCTGGATATTGCCTGTTAATACTTAGCTTGTACCATCGTTTATATATGAAAAGATAAGAAAATGTCGCGTAAGGTTGGAGGTTAATCGTTTCATTCTCTGATGCTATTTACAAGGAAAAAGGACATTATGTATTTTGAAATGATTTTGGATTTTTGCCAAGAAGGATAAATAAATTACTTATACAAAAATTAAGGAATTGACCTTGTTTGTAAAACATGAAAAAATAAATAGAATGATGTTACATTATGAAGATGAGTAATGGCTCCTAACATTGTTTTAATGTCTGCAAAAACCCAAGAAAATTTAATTTAGCAAATATCATATTTTTCAATCAGTTTCAAATCTATTCAAATATTTCATAGGGCAAACTCAATTAGATTGATTTTTCAAATTTAAGCTAAATATACCTAGGTAAGTTAAGCTAATTGATAGAAGCAAACTACACATTTTTATTATTTCAAATCGGAATTAGAAAAACAAATGAATTACGAGTTGCACACATGGTGTAGGTATGTGTCTTTAGAATGCGATTTTTTCTGTGTACCTAATAATTATTAACAAATAAGAAATAAACTCGTTCAGTTTGAGTCACAGTATAGAATTTCCCGGTGTATTGGTTTTTACTGATTTCCTGCGATCGAGTAATGCAAGTGTTAAATCTTTTTACAGGTAATCATAATTAGTTTCCTTGGACTAAATAAATATAGGTGAGTAGAATATAAGCAAACCATAATTTCATCAGTAACGCGTTTCTGGTATAAAGATCGCGTCCTCTCCTCATATGGTTTCCATTTGTTCATAAGAGTTCCTCGCGACAAGTTATCAACAATAAACAAAATGTACTTTTTTTTAGACTTTCGTTCGGTGCTAGTTTTTATTGGTCAACTATTAGTGTTGTTTTATGTTATATTTGTAACAAAAAATTGGCGCTTTTTCAAGTTTGCTTGGCACAATAATGGATTTTTTTTTCCAATGTTTCCATTTATTGGGACAATGTATATTGCCGTTATCGCGGGACAACGAAGTAAGTGTTTTTGAATTCTTTTTAAATATATTTTAGATGATATATTAGAGACATAGGAATCCAGAGTTTTTCAAATTGGTAAAAAAGTTATAAGAGCGCAGACTCTATACTAGGTATCAGTTTGAATTTGCAGCGAAAGAATTATTTTCGCTTCGAGAGATGCGGAAATATATATATTTTTTTTATCTATGAATTTTGACATAAAAAGTGAGGATGATTTGTAAAAATAATTTATATTATTGGGGAGGGATAATGCCAATTTTCTCTTTTTCTTGATTTTATTGAAAGAAAAAATTGACCAATTATTTATCTGTTGTTGTTGTACTTACTTAAATACTTACCCTTTTTTTAACCCTCAACAAAAGTTATTAAATTTCCTTACGAAGGTACGGGGTCTATTACTTATAATTAGTGCGGCTTAAGAAAAGGTGAATAGAAAAGTTTTAGGGTTTCATCTCTATCATCTTTTGCAAATGTCAAAACGGGCAAATGACAGGTGCTAACTGTTATAATGACAAACACTTGCATTTTTTTAAAAGGAACACCCTATATATTTTTAGCTAGAATGATAGATTTTTGTCTTCTGATTCCAAAAATACCATATTTGTTGATATTTGGTTCAGCTGTTTTATTTAATATTTTTTTTTTTGTTCAAGCTGCAGAAGCCGCACTAATTATAAGGGACAGACCCTGTACATAAGACTTATTGAATTTCTGTTCAACAATAAATTACCATTAATATGAAACAAGCAATGCGTTAGAATCCTCTCCTCGACTTTGGACACAGATCAATAAATAATATCAGTTCCATAGATACCTTGATCCTATAATTTTTCAATTCAGCCTAGCAATACATTAAGAAAATCACTTATGTTTTTTAAATAATTTATCACAAAAATTGAGAAATTTAATGATCCAGGGATTCTATTCTTCTTCCTTAACCGTACTGGAATTTCAGATCAATATTTGAACGGAAGTATAAGATGATGAGATCCTTGATGGTTTTTTTTTTACAAACTTACTGGATTCGTTGTCTAGTTATCCATAAAAGTCAAGAAATATCGTAACTTATCAACACATTCCTTGATCTATCAACTATGTCATGAAAACAGTCCCATGCACCACAATTGCTTGGCGACAAAAATAATTTTTCGATGAACAAATTTTCGCGGCTGCGCCTCGTGCTTCAATTTCCATGCGGTGGGCCGCAAACACCCTAATTGCGTCCTTGGGTACATGATAAACAACTATTTTTATTTTTTGTACATTTTTGCTGCGGGTACAAATTCGAGTAAATTTGCTCGCAGCTGATGATGGCCAATTTTTTCACTTAAAAATTATTTTTGACACCAAGATTGACACTTCTAACTGGTGAAAATTAATTGTAATAAAATAGTCAGCGTCTACAGTATTTGCGGGTAATCATCGAATCGATACCTGTAGTTACTATTCTTGACCGAGTAAAATTATTTGAAAAATGGAAAACTATCCACACGAAGTTGTTTTAGATATCCACACTCACAAGGGATGGCGAGAGGAAAATGTTCACGTTTAATTCATAATTTTCTACTTTTAGTGCTAGGGTGAAACCAGTAACTGGCAATTACGATAATCAAATAACCATTCTGGGATAGTGTCAAGGGTGAAAAATATCAGTCTCATTATTTTCATAAATCTAATTTCATTGAGTGTATTACCCTATATACAGTAGAATAATCACAAAAGTAGGTAACTATTTTCTGGGAGTCCTTCGTTGAGTGAAGAGACCTATCCGTGAGGTTAGATACTATACTACCACAGTGCTTTCTCTGATGGTGTGCTTAAGCTGATTATCCTCTTATCCAACACTCGCGCCGAATATAATCTGTGCAAGCTGTGCTCGCAGATTACGCTTCCCAACTCGGCTTGGTTGAGCAGCGGGACGATTGTATCGTTTCCTGTCAAAGAGCAGCCTCACTCTCTGCGTTGGCCAAGAAGGCTTGAGCACAGGAAACGATTTGAGTAAAACACCTTTTGAAGCTAGATGAATACTGATTTATTCCGAATCTTACATCCCTTTTTATATTGGATTTTGGTAAACTAATCGTGACAAAAACTGCAAAAATATAAAACACTGTGATCGTAATTACTTAAATGCATGCTGCAATGCAACTTACGATGTTTGGATATTTTTATAATACCCAAACATTGTGACTAACTAAAATCTCATATAGCAAGCTGACCGTGATATTGAATAAAATATAAATATACGAAGTCGGTCAAATTACGCCGGCGAAGGTTAATCACTGTTTAATTGTTCTAATTAAACATTCTGCCGCCTCTCCAGAATGGAAGAATGTAGACATTAGCTCTATGTCTTCGTCTTGGTTTTGGTGTCGGTTTCTTGTCTGCTTTTGACGTCTTCTGTTGATAACTTTTGTTGTCTGCCATCCTGCAGTCACTAGTATAATGATGACTATGGTGGTGATGCTGCTGTGAGTGTTTGTGGAGAGTACCATTAAAGATTATGGGTACAGCTTTTACATAGCTGCCTACCACTGGAACGATTGCGCTTCTTATGGGAGTTAGAATATTCTGTTTTGTCTGGATGGTGCAGCCTAGAGAAATTTGAATTACTCCCGTTGTATTTATTCCTACATCTTCCCGCTCGCCGTTGCATATAACCGCTGCTGTTGTCGACGAACCTGCGATGAACATCTATGTATTTGTTGTACATAGTCGTTTCCAGAGGATGCCTTTTAGCCTGTGTTGTTGTATGTGGCAATGTCTGGGTTGCGGTCGTTCATAAATTTCGTCGATGACGCAGGACGGATTAGATTCAATGTTTCTAACAGAAACTGGAGAACAGATGAGTTGGTGTGGGTAGGGCTGCATGTACTATTGTAGGTCGCTTTCATGGAGCTGGAAGTATGTTTGACTGTTGTAGTCGATGGCGGTGTAACCATCGTGAATGTCCAACGCCCAGTATGTTTCATTCTCAATTCTGAGTGGAATCGATGTTGCCTTCAATAGGGTGAATTCCGTCACGTCAACTATTGGAAAATATCCACACAACTTGAGGTGCGTGTTGTTGGTGATTAAACTTGTGGACACTGCTGCCGAAAGAATCTTTAGATTGTTTGGGAGCTTTCCATTGGATGTTTGAATGACGGCGTTGATATATGCTGGTGAAACTTGGTCATATATCGTACCCTTGTTGAAGTTGATGTTCAGCAATTTATCATAGTGCTCACTGGTTTCGCTGATGAAGTTGGTAGCTACTTGGTATGCACACAATAGGTGAATGTTAAGGGCATTAGTGTCTATTTGCTTGTACCAACTCTGTATGCTGTTGATAGCTTCTATTCCTTCGTTAATTCGTTTCTGGAAATGTTGTAGTTTGTTCGTGATTCTGGCTTCTGTTTCGTTGAATTTTGTGAGGGCCGAGATCATGAACTTTGTTTGGTAGTTCGATCCTCTGATGAGTTCTTCCTTATTGTTGTTCATTGCCTCGATATCTTGATATACTTCGCCATTCACTCCAAAAACCGCAGTCGAACATTTTCCAAATAGTCCTCTCTTAGTTCTGTGGTGAATGTCGGCCATGGTTGCAAATATCCATTTGGAGTGATTTTCCATTTCTTCTAAATGTTGTACGAGGGATGTGCATTTGACTTCATCGGTGAGCTTCTTGGATTCGTTGCACATATTTTTGAATTGGCTGACGACTGTGGATACCTCTGATAATTCCGTTTCAGTTTTATTCTTAAGATACGTTGTCTTTATCCTAAAAATCCCTCTTAAAGAATACATATGATTTTGTTGATGTTGATGCTACGTTCCGTAGTTGGTCTGATCTCCGTACCTCTGAGTGGTTTTGGGTGGTTGGTGAATGGTGTATGTTTTCTGTCGGTAATGGAATTAACTTGTGGATCGGTCTTTTTTGTGGTGAGCCACCTGCTTTCTTTATTGTTACCACCCGGATTGCTCCATCTTGTCCCTGGTGAGTTTCTATAATTCTCCCCAAAGGCCATTGTTTGGGTTTATATTTTCTTCTTTGATTAGGACCATTGTTCCTACTCGTAGATTGTTGGTCTGTTTCTTCCATTTGTATATTTGCTGCAGTCTGGTGAGGTATTCTGTGCACCATGCGCTCCAAATGTTTTTCTTTAACTTTTGCACGTATCTCCATCATTGAGATAGGTTAAAATGTTCTGTCGATTCCAAGTTTGGTGGTGCTAGAAGTTCTCTTCCTATGAGGAAGTATCCTGGGGTCAAGATGTTGAAATTATCTGTGTCTTCTGTTAGCGGGTAGAGTGGTCTTGAGTTCAAATATCCCCGATTTGATACACCAACGTTGTTAATTCTTCATAGGTCAAAGGGCAGTCTCCAATTACTCTCTTGAGATGGTGCTTCATAGATTTTACACCTACCTCCCATATTCCTCCGAAATGTGGGGCTGCTGGTGGAATGAAGTGCCATTGTGTTCCTAAGTTGACGATTGTTTTTTGCACAGATTGTGATTGTATCAATTTTGTGATTTCATCTTCGAATAGGCGTGCTGCTCCAACAAATTTAGTTCCGTTATCACTGTACATATTCGCACAATGTCCTCTTCTGGCTGTGAAACGTCGAAGTGCTGCCAAGAATGCCTCTGTTATCATGTCACTGACTACTTCTAGGTGAATGGCTTTGGTTGCTAGGCATACGAATACTGCGATGTACCCTTTGTACGATTTGTGACCTCTTCCTTTTGTTGCTCTGACTTGAATCGGTCCGGCGTAGTCCACTCCTGAGTTTGTAAATGGTGGTGCTGGTATTACTCTCGATTTCGGAAGTTGTCCCATGAGTTGCTGTGCGGTCTCGGCTTTGTGACGGATGCATACAATGCACTTATTTATAACTGCTTTGACAGCCCGCTTACCGTTGATGATTCAAAATCTGCTTCGTACGTACGACAATGTCACTTGGTTGCCTCCATGTAGTGTGGTCTTGTGTGCGTTTCTCACCACCAACGTAGATATGTGAGAATGGTATGGAAGAATCATCGGGTGTCGTTGGTCGTAGGGAAGAGGTGAGTGTTCGAGTCTTCCTCCGACTCGGATTATGCCCTTGTTGTCGAGAAATGGGTTGAGGGTCTGTAGCTTGCTTTTCTTGTCGACTGCGTTCTGCTGTTGTAAAGACTTGTATTCTTCGGAAAACTCTTGTTGTTGGACTATTTTTATGATTCTTTCGAAAGTGTCTTGAATTTCTTGAACGGATAGAGTAAGACTTTCCCCTTTTTTGATGAATCGACGGCAATAGGATAATACCCTGAGCATCCTTGTCAAGTTTGAGAAGCGTTCCCATATATCGCTTCTTATCGTAACTTCAATTTTGTGACATGTGGCTTTTACTTCTTCTTGAATGTCGGGAATGTTGTCTGTTGTGGGGATTTCACGGAGAAACGTCAGCCAATGAGGACCTTTCCACCACAGATCAGCTGATTGTAGTTTCTCTGGGTCCAATCCCCTGGATATGATGTCTGCTGGGTTTTCTTGGGACTTGACGTGGTTCCAGGATGCTTGAGGGGCGTTTCTGTGTATTTCGCAAACTCTATTTGCCACGAAAGTTTTCCATCTCGTAGAGTCACCCTTTATCCAGGCAAGAGGAGTCATGGAGTCGATCCAAGCGAAGGGCTGGGTGTCACCCATTTGAAGTGCTGTCTCAATTTTTTTGAATTAATTTTGATAGTAGGACTGCTGCACATAGTTCCAAGCGAGGTAGGGTTGTTCTGTTTTTTGATTTTTTGAATTTGATATTGCTTGCAGCAGCGTTATAATTCGCTTATCTTCTTCTCCTATCCGACTGTAGATCACTGCACCATAGGCCTTTTCTGATGCATCGCAAAAGCCGTGGAGTTCAATTTTTGTTTTTCTGAGATGTATCCACCTCGGAATCTTGATTTTCTCTACTTCTTTTATTTTGCTCTGAAACTTTATCCATCTTGAAGATATTTCTTGATCTACAGGCTCATCCCAGCTTAGGTTTCTTAGCCATAAGTCTTGAATGATGAGTTTAGCTTGTATTACGATTGGAGACAACTATCCTAAGGGGTCGTATAATTTGGATATTTCTGACAAAATTTGTCGTTTTGTTAATTCGCGTATCTCGGAGACTTTGACTTGGAATTTGAAGGTATTGCTGGTGACCATAGTACGCCCAGAGATTTCTTGAAGTCTTCCTGAGGTAGTTCTTGTATTTAATCACTGTTAATCACTGTTTAATTGTTCTAATTAAACATAATCTCTATTTGAAATATTCAAAAATCATCTCCGATATTGTTTTTATGGTGAGCCCACTAGAAACTCGGATAAAACCCTTTTCGAAAGTATCCCCGACGCGCGACCACATTCAAAAACAAAGGAGAATCTATCTCCCTTACGCCACTCTTCCTGCAAGTTGACGGAACAAAAAGGTATGATAAAGCCTTACAATAGTTTATTGTTGAACGTTACCTGAGAACATAACAAAAAACCTAATCCAATTAATTACCTCGTGCTAATGAAGTTGTAAATCCAAAAAGTGAGCTAGCAAGACATCTCCAAAGATGTTCGGCATTTACTCGACTGTACCAACATGTCAACTCACGATTATGTTCTTCCTGGTAAAGATTCTTAGATTTTTCCGACAATAGTGGAACCATTGTTGTACCATCTTACTGCTTTTTCTGTGATTCTAGAATTTGAAAATATACTATTTCGTCATATTCTGACAAAAAATTTCACACAAGATATTTCTGGTGGTTCAAAAAAAATTAAGGACTCACTTGACACTAGTCATTGACTGGTAATAGGGCATGTATACAGGGTTGTTTATGAATAGCTATCTTAAGGCCCTCGATATACGTACAGGGTGTCACGAAAGGTTGGTTACAAACTTCTAGGGACTGTAGATCTTGTAAGAATAAAATTTGCTTTTGGACTTCTCGGAGTTGTCCCAGTAATTTTAGAGGTTATGTCGGATGGTTTTTTTGCACGAAAAACATCGTCCAGTCAATTTATTTTCAATTAGAATATGTTTTTTTAAATAAAAAACTTAAAAATACAACTTTTTTGTCTCTTAATTTTTTTCCGTATGCTGCTTTGTTTTCGAGATAAAATTATAAAAACCATTTCAGGCGAACCACGAACGTCACCGACCTCCATAAATAACAAATAAATTGCCTCAGAATAACTTGAAATTTTACCAGCCTATTTGCTTCTTAAAAATAAACAAAAAAAAAACAAAAACTTTTTTTCTAAAACGCACGCATTTCTAGGAATTGATTAAAAAATATACTTATTTCTACAAAGTTTAACACCCTGTATCTGGAAAGCGAAGCATTTCCGAACACATGTTTATTAAAAAAAAAGCTTAATTACTACGAGATCTACCATCCCTAGAAGTTTGTAACATACCTTTCGTGACACCCTGTATAAATAACTAGTTATTATGAATGTTTTTGTATATAGTTTTGAACCTAATCATAAATTATCGTAAATATGGTGTTTTTTTTTTCTTCAGAAAATGTAATTGCAATGGCCGATTTCGTGCAAAAATATATAGGATTTCCATTTAATCTATGGCACGGATATGACTATTATTACTTCACACAGGATCCAAACGAGGCAAAAACTTTATTGCACAATTTAGGCGCCCAGAACAAAGGCACGGTATACAACGATATAGCTTATGTTTTTCAAGATTCCTTATTGACCATAGAGTGTAAGTTGATCTGCGATAGTTTTCAGCAAATTATAATAGATTTTACCTTGAATTTTAGACAAGAGATGGAGACTACGTCGTAAAGAATATGCTAAATGTTTTAAACCTAGTAGCCTAAAAATGTTTAGTTTAGATTACTATAAAGGCAGTAGTGATTTTATAAGAGAAATTATGGCTCAAAATGGTAGACAATCGCTGTCCTACGACGATTTCACCAAATATGCTTTTAAAAACTTTTTTTGTAAGTGTAATGATATATTTTCGCTATGCAAAAAATATAAGAAATTATTTCAGTGACATCTCTTGGTTTGGATAAACAACCCGAGAACATGCATCGATTTGGTGAATGTTTAATGCAGTAAGTAAACTTGATAATTTGTAGTACGAAAATTATACTTTTTAAAAGATTCCAGGAAGACGTGGCTCAAAAGTTATTAGATCCATTAACGCCTGTGAGCATGTGGTATTATTTGTCTCCGGGTGGACGAAATACGGCTAAAAATATGAAAGAAATCACGTCTATAAGTCGGCAGGTATGTACCTACATTAAAAGTTTACACATCTATCTAAAGCTTGAATCCTAAAAATTCCAACAAAGTCTGAATATGTTTATTATTGAAAAATTAGGATGGAACACCAAACCGTTTTGCTTGATTTTGAACTAGTAAGATTCGTCTTGCTCTGCAGAAGTCGATCGAAATTGGTTATCAGAACAGCTCAAAGACACGTTTCTTTTGGGGATAATATTCCTGTTCTTCAACAGCCACATTCTTTATTTTTCTAATTACATAATTTGTAACGTGGACTCGGAGACATATTCCCATCATCAGAATTTTTGACGGTTTATCAATTTTGTAGCTTTTTACCTACAAGTGAACTTGTCTCTTTAGATTTATGGGAATTTTCGAATCTTTCAGTAACTTTCCCAATTTTCTAGTTGCTGCATATTATGTCAATCCTGGCAATATCTGCTGTTTGATCTGCTGCACTGAGTTAGTGAGTTCAATAATTATTATGAAATATATAGTCGTAGTTTTCATGTATTGTGAGAACCATCCACCTGACTTATCATATTTTACATAGTCATTATACTAGATGTGATGGCTGAACAGTCCGATGTCGTCTGGAAAATGTGGATGGAGCGACCTGTTAGAGTCTATCATAGTGTCTTCAAGTTGGTGTACTCCAATGTCTCATAATTTTCATATACGTTATTTGAATAGCTTCCTAAATCTCATCTGACCTTATTGCTATTAGTTTTGCCCAGTTGATCATATTCTAGTGCTATCTTAGTCACATTTCTGGTTTTAATTAGTTCCCGTATATTTTATGTGTTCTTAATTTTGTTTCTGGTGCAACTTTTTTTGGCTGTTGTCTTGATAGATTGAATCTGTTCTCGAGCGAGGTATGTGGAAGTGGCTGCAGTAAGCGCTTTGTCAGAAGAGAAAAATGCCCTCAAGCTACTTCCTTCCGCAAAACTGTACATGGGGTTTCTTGTCACAAATGATAATTCATTTATGAAAATGAGAAACAGTGTTGGGGACAGAATTGAGCATTTATAGGTGTATAAGAAGACACACCATCGGCCACGACATGCAATGACCTGTCTTCCAAAAAGCTCCCCAACCAATAGCAAAATTCGTTCGGACGAAAGACCATACGATGGAAAATTGCTGAGGAGACTTTGGTGCCACAACTGGTCAAAAGCCTTGGAGATGTCCAATGCTACAATTCTGGATTCGCCATGTTTTTCGATAGTCGAGTTTCAAACATGACTGACGTACGCCAGCAGATCTTTTGAATGAAAGCCGTATTGTTTTTTCAGAGATTAGCTTATTGGCTTGTCCATTACTTTCGAAAGTATGGATAAAAGTAAGATGAGACGATAATTGCTAAGAAGAGCTTTCTTGTCCTTTTTCGGGGTGGGCTGCACTCTGGCCCATTTCCAGATAGACGAAAAAACGCCTGGACTGTAAGCAAGCTGAAAAGAGTTTGCAAAGAACTGAAGCATATTCTTGTGCGAAAATTTTTTAAGAACAATTAATTGGTGGAGTGGCATCGGGACCACAAGATTTCCCAGTGTCTAGTTGCAGAAGAATTTTCCTAATAGTTTTAGTTCTGAATACAATGTTGCCCATGTAAGTACCAATGTGTGGCAGTACCTGTGGTGCGCTGCCATTGCCCATTGTCCTACATCGTGGAATTGGATGCAAATTGTTTGTCCTCTACTAAAGGTGGAAAGCAAAAAGAAGTGATTTTTTTTGTCTATGGTCTTGGCAAAGGAACCAAAGCACCTTGTTGGTTGTGTAACTCCTTAGCTGCTTCAGTTATACAGTTGCAATGATTTCTGGCATCCGTAAAGGACGGTCGAGTTTGTTCGCACTGGTTTCCACTCCAAGCACGTGTTCTTTGTCCTGCTTCAGGTTAATTTTTTGATGTTAGCTTTTTGAAAAAGGTACTTAGTCATCAATAAAGTAGTAAGAAGGTTTAGAATGGCCCCATGCCTATCTACTCAATACGTATATTTGCAGCCAAGATTAGAGTGAGAGAACGGGAGAGATCCGTGAGATTTTCTGCCCTGACTAGCGCAATCTCACTCAAGGTTAAGGTGAAAGATCCGAGATATCCAATAGATTTTCTGCCCTTACTAGCGCTTTCTCATTTTGGAATCATTTGAGTTACGCAAAGCTCGTTTCAAATCTTACTACTTCATTACTAGTCATACAGTAAAGATGATTTTCCTGGAGATATTTTGAAAGTTTTCATCCACTTCCGTTAGAAATTCTTAGGACACTGTTAGGGATACCTAACTATCTGTTTTTTATTTGCCTACCTTGACATTGAAGTTTTTGATTATAATTTTGTAATACATTTGTTCTGCTTTGTGAGTAAATTTTATGCGATGGCGGAAACTGAATTTATTCCATTGAAAAATTCCAGCCTTTATATAATGGGTACAGGAGAATCTACTCGATGTGGAAAGTGAAGTTAGCGTTTGGGATGGTATGTTTTGGAAAATTAGTTTTTGAATTCAAAACGCGCTAAGGTACCTATGAAAATATAAAATAATTTTTGTGCAGTCATGGATTTTCCTACCCGATTTACTATAAGCTTCAACCTGGACAGCTTTTACAAAAAAAATAAACTTTGATACATCGCAGAATCTTTTTCAATAGCTCACTCTTTTGTCAAACCTCCTTGAAATTTGTGACATACCTGAGTCACCAAGGTGTTCGGATTTTGTTGGTTTTACTGGATATCTCAATTTCAGATTAAATTTAGATTATTTGCCGCTCGCATTGCTATAAGAGTTATATTTTTCCCAAGACATTACTTGGAAATAATATAATTTTTAATTCCATTTTTATTTTAGATATTTGAAGATAAAACAAAACAAAGAGCAGATTTTAAAGGTAAATAGATCCACTTTTAGGAAGTTTAAAATAAATTTGTATGTTTATTGCTTATAGCATTTATTGAACACGAAGATAATCCAGCATTGCTTGATTTAATGATGAGCTTGAAAGGAACACTTCTAAATGACAAAAATGTATTGGATGATCTGGTATTTTTCTCAGCTGCGGTAAGAACAGGCTCAAAGCTCATTATTTATTATTTATTTTTTTTGGAAAGTAAAATAAATATTTTTTTTCAGGCTTCTGACACATCCGGTCATTTTCTAATGATATGCTTTACTTTGATAGGAATGTTTCAAGATGTACAGGTATTAACATTATAATACATATTTCCTTTTTTTCAAATCTTACAAGAAAAAAGTCACCTCAATAATAATGCCTCATCTATCTTCTTTATTTGGCATTTTCGACAGAAATGTCAAATGTGAAGTTTAGGAAAATGGTGAAAGATAAATATAAATTGCTATATATTTCATACTATCATCTGCTTCTTAAATATTATCAGGGATTCGGGATTCAAAACATCGAATCGAAGAGATATTGTCACGTCTCTGACTTGCGTGACAGAAATCTTGAGTCCGTTTATTCAAAAATCAAAAATCACTTCACTAATTACCTTAAACAACTTAACTCTTTGCAACTGTAACAATAATCACTATCTGAATCATATCACAGCAAATCTTAAACTAATAACTACTAACTAATACCGGCCTTCATATATCCATAATCCATTCTTGTGAAATCCAGGATAAACGCGATAGCCCTTTTTCCCGAATAGCACTGTAAAATCTAGAATCAGCTGTCCAATTCTGTACACTCTGGCGCTTCCGCCAGATTTTCGCGATACTGCCCTCCTCTTAAGGTCGATCGTTCCGATCAACTTCGCGCCCATGATATTTCGTCAATCTGTCCAAATGTACAAATTTCATCTTACTCTTGGTGTTGCGCTGAACTCGAAAAACCAAATCATTAATCCCCTTGATTATTCTGTAGGGTCCTTCCCATGCTGAAGACAATTTTGGTGACACTCCTTTCTTTCTTGCTGGATTATACAGCCACACTAAATCACCTTCTTGAAATCCGACTGAATTGGCTTCCAAGTCGTATCTAGTCTGCATTCGGTCACTGGCCAGCTGAATTTGCTCTCGAGCTACATCATATTGTATCCCCAGAAGTCGCGCCCTTACTTCGTCGGCATAATCTCGAATTTGTTTTCGTTCTTCTTCAGGTATCCCAAACATGACATCGCAGGTAACCTGAGTTCCCTTCCAAAAACGATTCTAGCTGGACTTTCACGTATTGACTCTTGAACAGCTGCTCTGTAAGCCATTAAAAATAGAGGCAAGTGACAACTCAGGGAACGGTCCGGCAACATCTATCGCTATTCTTTCAAATGGGAGACCGACGTTGTACTGTCTTCATGATAGTGAACCCAGTAGAAACGTTCCCGAATTTTGTCCAAAGTCTTGTTAACTCCAAAATGTGCCCCCGAAGTTCCATCATGTATTTTTTTAAATACTTCTTCTACTCGATCTTTTGGAATAACCAGTTGGCTTTCAGAAGATTTCTCATCGGCACTTTCCCAAACTCTTTCAAGTAAACCATTTTCTACGGCCGGAGAGCTCCACTGAGCCCACAACGCCTTATAATTCAGACTCTTGTTCGAAACTTCCCTCCATTCTGGCCTACATTCATCATTTTCTTTAAGATGTAGAATTTGCCCGATGTCCTGGTCTGCTTCTTGATCTGTTTTATCATCAACGATAAACCAGTGTTTTCTCATGCATATCGATTCTTTGACAATGCTTGCAGTCTTCTTTGCATGGACGTCTAGACAGAGCGTCAGCATTTCTATGCAGGTTTTCAGGTCGATGTTTAATTTTGAAATCGTATTGCTGCAATTTCTCAATCCATCTAGCAAGCTGTCCTTCGGGAGTTTTCATTTCTAAAAGCCATTTTAGAGCTGCGTGATCCATTCGAATCAGGAACTTACGTTTGTAGAGATACTTATGGAAATGGTCGACTGCTTTTACTATGGCAAGCAACTCTCTCCTGGTGACACAATAATTTCGTTCTGGCTTTGATAAGGTTCTGCTGTAGTACTCTACGACATGCTTTAGTAAATTTTGAATTTGTGATAGTACCGCTTCAATACTGGTGTTGCTTGCATCTGTGTCCAAAATCAACATGCCCATCTGATCGGGATAGCACAGCACTGGTCTTGTACATAATACTTCTTTCAATTTTCCAAATGCGGGATCACATTCTTGGGTGCAATTTTTTGTTGTTGTTGATTTGTCTTCCGCTAATCGATGAAGCGGAGCAGCTATATTGGCGAATCCTTCCACAAATCTTCGATAATAAAAACATAATCCTAGAAAACTCCTTAGTTCATGTTTGTCACGTGGTTTTGGCCAATCCCCGACAGCATCTATTTTTCCTTCCATAACTTGTATGCCATCTTCAGATACCACGTGACCTAAGAACTCAACTTGCTTTTGAAATAGAAAACACTTATTTGGATTTGGTTTTAAGTTGGCATTCCGGAAGCGGTCAAAAACTTCTTTCAGGTTATTGAGATGTTCTTGGAATGAATTTCCCATGATCATGACATCATCTAAATATACCAGGCAAGTTCTTCATGTAAGGCCTCGCAAAACTAGATGCATCAGTCGCTCAAACGTAGCTGGGGCATTACACAGTACGAAAGGCATTACGTTAAACTGGTATAACCCACTTCCGGTACTGAAGGCAGTTTTCTCTTTGTCATCTTTGTGTCTTGCCACTTGCCAGTATCCACTCTTAAGATCCAAGGTGGAAAACCATTTGGAGCCCGATAGAGTTGTTAATGTATCGTCTATCCTCGGAAGAGGGAAGCTGTCCTTGTCGGTGACGTCTTTTAGCTTACGGTAATCCACACAAAATCTAAGGCTTCCATTTTTCTTTGTAACCAATACTACTGGCGCAGACCATAAACTTTTTGACTTTTCAATAATTCTCTCTTGAAGCATTTTATCAATTTGTTTTTCCTCTGCCTGCTGTCTAGCTACTGGCATACGTCGAGGTGGTTGTCTAATTGGGTGTGCCAATCCAGTATTAATTTTGGGTTGAATTAAACTGGTCCGTCCGGTTTGATTATTCATCACAAATACGTCTGCTTCTTTCAAGGTGATATCTGTGGCTTCTTGAAGTCTATCTGGATCGAGGTGTTTCCATGATTTCTCCAAAGTCTGCATCAAGGTGTCTGTATCCAATTTCGATTTTTAAAAATGTCGCTTATCTGATAGGTCGCAGTTCGATATTTGCTTAACTGGTTCGAGAATTCGAATAATATCTCCTTCCTTTATTTTTACTGTTGTTTCAGAAGAAACATTGGCAATTCTCATCATAATGTCTCCATTTGTTCTTACTAGAGTCTTTCCAACGAGAATTTTTTTTGGTTTATCTCCAATAAAATTATGTGTTAGTCCAACGCAGCACCCAGGGTTTGTTTCCAATTTTCCGCTCAGTACGTCTAGGAATCCTCACTGATCACAGATTTTCGCGACACTATAATTCCAGGAAAAAGTGCACTGTCCGACGTAAACAAGTGACTTATTTAATTTCTTGGAAGCCCGGTGCTACGATGTCGATGCATTTTCGTAGCAATATTGATATGAGCAAATGTGCTTTTTTAAAAATTTTTGAAACGATATAAATTCCAATCAAAAGGCTCATTTTAGCGGAAAAACCCCAAAGGATCTATTTTCAATATTCACCCTTTTATAGGGAATCGTTTAGCACTAAAGAGTACATATTACTTATACAAGGTGTTCCTAAATATCATGTACAAACGGAAGAGGGCGATTCTTCGGTTTATTTTATGACTAAAATTTATAATAAACATAGGTCCGCAAACGCTTCGTTACCGATCTACAGGGTGTTCAAATTTTAATGTATTCATATTGAAAATGAGCAAGAATATGGCGGCGAGGGGTGTCTTACTTCTAGATTCCTATTGAAAATAGCAAGAATATGGCTGCATGACCTCTATTGTCGCCACTGTAGGTAGAAAAGGTTTATTGAGTCACTTTAGTTTCATCTAGCTAATGACAGATATTTGTTTTTTAAATTTTTTTTCGTTAAGGGTCGGTGATACGAAAAAACTACAAGAAAACAAAAAGTTTATAAATAAGGTAGAAACATTATTTTGTTACTTAGAGTCGACCAGCGGCGCACCGCGAAAAAGTTCAGGGGCAGAAAAAGGGGCATAACCGCTGAAAAACATCATCCTGTAGATTCTGGCAAAACGCTTCACATGTGCAGTCATTCAGCTCCTATTGCGTAACCTTTATTCCAAATTTGAGCTAAATCCCTCAGAAACTGCAGGAGCTATAACGAAAAAACTAAAAAAATATTAACATTTCAACACCCTGTAGATCCGTAACGAAGCGTTTGCGGACCTATGTTTATTAGAAATTTTAGTCATAAAATAAACCAAAGAATCACCCCCTTTCGTTTGTACATCATATTTAGGAACACCCTGTATACAGAAAATAAAATGAGTATTTAAATAATTTTACAATTATACAGTGACCGCCAAAAAGTTTGCAACAAATGGGAAAATATTTTATTATTGAGATATCAAAAAAAATGTTACGTGGGATCAACTCAGCACACCCATCAACAAAAAAAATCACTGTGACAGATGTCATGTGACCACAGTCATGGCGGAAAATTTAAAAAATTCGCCTTAAATATGTGAAAAGTGGGGTTAGACGACCAGAAATCGAAAAATTGTAGAGAGAAAAGTTGTTCAGGATCCAATTTTACGTCCATGTGTCAATTTTTAAAAAGGTACAAGGATTTTGAATAAATATTAATTTTTTGGCCCGTTTTCTGGTAATTTGAAAAATATCGAAAACATTTCACAAAAATATTGGCTCGATTAAATTTAGAAAAGAGGTATTGAATCATTTAGAAAGATTTCATGATAATTCTAAATTTGTTATTCCAAATTTGTGTTTTCTGTAGGTCATTGCAACAAGATCAGAGTGGTCTGAAAATGAATTTTTGGTTTTTTACAATTTTTCGCGGGACAATTAAGCAGAATTACTGCACTGGATTTTTTTTTGTTAGTTTCACTTTGAGTTATGTGAACCAGACGGAAACTTTTTGATATTTTTCAAATTACCAGAAAACAGACCAAAAAATTGATATTTATTAAAAATCCTTGTACCTTTTTAAAAAGTGATACATGGACGTAAAATTGGATCCTGAACAACTTTTCTCTCTGATTTTTCGATTTCTGGTCGTCTAACCCCACTTTTCACATATTTAAGGCGAACTTTTTAAATTTGCCGCCATGACTCTGATCACATGACATCTGTCACAGTGATTTTTTTTGTTGATGGGTATGCTGAATTGATCTCACGAAACATTTTTTTTGATATCTTAATAATAAAATAATTTCCCATTTGTTGCAAACTTTTTGGCGGTCACTGTATAAGTATACTATGTGACAAAAAAAAACGCATCAAATATACCTACTTGTTGATATTTGGTTCAGCTGTTTTTGCGCTATTTAAGTTTGAAATTGCATGAAGTAAGCCTAACCATTGATATAAGGAACCGGGAACAGACTTAATTTAGGTGAATGTGAAAGAAATACTTTATCTTGATAATATGAAAAGATAACCGTGTATTCCTGAAACCAATTTCAAGAAAAAAAAATTTCACCATTTTCCATAACTTCCACTCTTAGAACTTCTGCCAAGAAGTTCTAAAAAAACTTAAGTTATTTGTGTGGTAATACAGTACCGAAAAATATTTTAGGAAAAAATATATCAAGAAATAGTTGATTTGGTTGGCCAAAAACCAATCCTACCAGATGATGTGCCAAAACTCGAATATATAGAAGCAGTAGTTCATGAAACTCTAAGACTCTTTCCTGTTATACCAATCCTTAGTAGAAAATTAGACAAGGATGTAGATTTAGGCGACAAAGTTATTCCCAAAGGTTCAAACGTTGGAATTTCCGTTTATCACATCCAAAGAAATCCAACTTACTGGCCGGATCCTCTTAAGTTTGATCCTACAAGATTCCTGCCAGAAAATGCTTCCAAAATCCAGCCAAATACTTATATGGCATTTTCCAGCGGCCCTAGAGACTGCTTAGGTAAAGCTCAAGCTCTGTGTATGTTGAAAATAACTATTGCATCAGTCGTGAGAAATTTTAAAGTTCTTTCAAAGCATAAATCAGTTGAAGAGTTTAAAGTTATGTCTGCGTTGTCGTTGAAAACTACGCATCCTTTGGATTGTCGTTTTGTGCCTAGAACTGCAGAGCTCCAACATGGATCTCAAGAAGAAATTTAAGGATGTAACCAAATATTGTTAAATAAATTGAAAAAAAAAAAAGGATTTATTGTTTTTTTTTACTAACTTAAATTATCCCCAACCTCACCAAGTATCTTCATCTTTCACAAAGGATTTTTAAAATGTTCAAGTTTGGATAAAACTTCTTCCTAGAAGTGCATTTCTTAAATATTTTGAAACATGTCTCATAGCAAATAGACGTTTTCCAGTACCTAGTTTTTAATCCTCTGGAATTTCGATTTGTGCAAAAAAAAAAATCGGAAAGAGTAGATACCTACCTTCGTATCTATTCAATTAAAAATGCTTGCAAGTTAGGTATCAAAGATGTATATAATGTGTACTGGATATGTCTCTATGCAAGACAATATGGGGGCATTATGTAAAAAATTATCATAAGATAAACTTCTTTTGACCGGGGGTCTTAAACTAGAATTAATGAAAAAATACCACAATGAAATGTGCTCAGACCTCAAATATGCAACACTTATACAAAGATCGGATGATTATTTTATTAAAGAAGCATACAATGAAAAAGAGATGAAACAGAAATAAAAAAAAAGCAAAAGAAAAGCGATTGTAGATTGCTCGTAGAAACTCAAGGATAATACACACTACTAAGGATTGCTTATCGGCCTCGTTTTTGGTAATCGCCGCCATATTGGTGTGTCACCATTTCCGACGTCATAACTAAGTCGTCAGCTGTTTGCACTAGCGGTTGTAGAAAAGAATTTAAATTTATGATGGAAAATATTATTTTATTTTGATCAACATAATAGGCAAAAAGGAAGATAAGAACGAGATCCTTAGAAAGAATTGTTTTAGAATGTTAATTAATGTAGTAAAACCAAGTATGCATAAAGCAAAAGCTCGCGGAATCTTAACCTGTGATGCAAACAGCCTACGTCTAGGCGAGAATGGACATGCTGCCTACGTCACAATTGGTGATTTGGCGTGGTAGGGGGCTTCAGAATTGTTCCACACAGGCCTTATGAGGATAGGCTATCTTGTAGTAGTAGTGTGAATTATCCTTGGTAGAAACTATCGAAAAAAAGTCAGAAAGATCAATAGGTTATAAACAAACGTGACAATTTGAAAAGTAGCAATCGGGAATATCTCTTAGACAAAAAATACTATTAAGAAGATCTCAAATACGTATCGGGGGATTGGAGGAAGAATCAAAATAAGGCACTTCTTGAGACACCACCTCGTTTGATAGCTCGTTGCTATCCCTTTACAGTTCTATAGCAAAATCTGAAATCGTACGATGTCTTTAAGATATCGGTGTTTAGAAGCAAGTACATTTTGAAAACTAGTAATTTTGAATATCTCTTAGACAGTAGACAGAAGAATTCTGATGTCATGAAAGTCTCGAATACACATCGGCGAAACCAAATAATGTGTTTATCGTAATCTGCTTCTGCACGCCTCCAAAGAGGAATAAAAAACCTTTCAAAGAAGGTATCACGCGGAATAGGAGGTTGTCATTTTCGAAAAATTATCAGGGGCGGCTAGCCCTCAAGATAAAAGGGGTGGGGTTAAGCAATAAACACAGGTGTGTATTTGAGACTTTTATGACAGAATTCTTTTGTCTAATACTAAGAGATAATCAAAATAACTGAATTTCACAACGTCCTTACTTTTAACACCGATATCTCAAAAACTAATCGTACGATTTGAGATTTTGCAATAACACTGTAAAGGCAAAGCAACGAGCTTTCCAGCGATGTGCAACACAAGATAGGTTCGTATTAAAGAAAAATAAGTTAGGTTGCCCCTAAGGGGTGAGGCGAGGTGAATCAAAAAGTGCCTCATTTTCTCTTCAGTCCACCAATACGTACTTGAGATCTTCCTAATAGTATTTTTTTGTCTAAGAGATATTCTCGTTTGCTACTTTTCAAATTGTCACCCTGTATATAATGTTCTACAAAATCGTCAGTGATAAGCAGAAAAAGTTGAAAAAGTCCTAAATGGCAAATTTTCTTAACCAAGAAGCTGAACTTTTGATAACGTAATCGACTTTCATTTAGGCCCTATATATGACACGTACCTAACTGAAGCAGCTCAATTCCTAAATATCTTATAACCTACTGCCATCAATCCAAAATCGAACGAAAGCAAATTCTTTCATGTCCTTGCTGTCTTTCTCCTCGTACAATACTTGCTGCATATCAAATAAGCTCCAATATTTTTAGCATCCTGTCTTAGTACATCCTTAATTTTATTATAAATAAAATATTTACTAAAATAGAATTATGAAAGTTTATTATATTATTATCCCCCTACTAAGTGCAGTATAAATAGATATTAAGGGCTGTATCAAGCAGCATTGAGTTTAGTTGCAGAAGAAAAATGAAGACTAGCATTGTGTTGATTATCTGCTTGGCGGGAGTTTGCAGGGCAGCTCCAAAGGTTGACATTTCATCTTGGGACAATCTTCTTCAAGTAATAAAGCAATTTTTTTTTTCGTTACGAAGAAAAAATAATAAAATTATTATTTTCAGATTGGAGGTGATGTGGAAGTAACCAAAACCTCCTCAGGAAGAAGCAACGATGTCTCAATTCAAGGCTCTATTGAAAATTATCTCAAATCCAATGAGCTTAGTTTCAAATTACCAATTGTTGGTTCTACAATGACCATGGCTGCAAGAAACTTGGACAATGATGAGCTGGGATTTAGGCTCAATTTCAATAGTGGAAGCCAAGTAGAAGGTAAGCAATATTCTAGCTACTCATATAAAAAAATTGTAATTTATATTGTTTCAGCTAGGGGCAAAAAGTCCAAACTCAAGAAAATCTTTGTCCCCATCCTAGTCTTCATTCTCATCAAAGCTATGACTTTAATTCCTCTAGCCTTAGGAATTCTCAGTCTCAAAACCTGGAACGCTATCCAGCTTTCCTTCGTATCTTTCGTGACCACTTTAGCTATGGCTGTTTGGAAACTTTGTTCCAAAGTGAATGGAGATCATCAACCGCCACCACATATTATTCATGAGGCTTATGATTCACACCACCATCATCATATTGCTGCTGCTAGGTCCGATCAAGAAGATGCTAATAATATGGCTTATAATGGATATGCTCCTCAATCACAAAATGAATTACCATATTGATGACAAATATTCTGTGATTTTGTTAATTTATTTTTTTTTTGTTAATAAAAGTGGCTATATGTTAAATAGTTTATTATACTACGCTTGCCAGCTATAAATTTCTGGATTGATGTGTACGAGATAGATAGATAATATGCTTCTAAAGTGAACTGATTCAAAGAAGTCATGACATCAAAATAACGTTATTTGGGAATCTTAAATTGTAAATTTGTGAATGTATCTACTCTATTCATGTTTCTTATTATGTTATTAGGTTTTTTAGGATGCAGGGTTCAAATATATCAGCATCCCCGGCTTAAAAAAATATTCGACGTAAACAAGGTGTATTTTCATTGCAGTTATTTTTAGTTTTATGTGGATTTACACTATATTATGTAGCAGATTGTCATTGTATATGATCTCGTCTCATAGCTGTTGAAGATACATTACCTAACCTTACATAGCAATGGAGAGTTCGTTCCAAGGCGGATGATGCTTAAGGTTTATTATAAGCAGTAGATTTGAAATAATTATCCCTTCTTCCAGTTTTGTACACTTACCAATGGTAGTGCAAGGCATTATTTAAAATCTTGTGTCAGATTATTTTCTATATATACATTTCTGTCCCGGACAATAGTCTTCGATCTGTCAATTAGCTGTTCGACCAACTGACTGATGTCAACCTCATGAATCCGCTATCGAAATTTCTGACTACCTCAATGTAGAATTTTTTATTATCTCAATCTGGCTTTTGGGTAAATGATTTCAGCGAAGTTCAAAATCAAAATGCAGCAGCGCCTCACTTACCAAGGAAAATTGTAATTGTATTTGTTACTACGGGTGTCTCAAAACGACCCAACTATTTTGAATGAAATTTAAAACAAATATGTTTATTGTTATAATCATTTTTTGTTATTATTCAAGAGAGAGAGAAAATAAATCTCCGTTTTTTGAAAATTACATTTAATAAATGATGGCCATTTCGTTCGCGACGCTCTTATTCAAAGTTTTTACAAGACTTCTGAAAACGTTCACAAGAAGTTGTCTGGGAATCTGCCTTATGTTTTCAATTTCAAGTTCATTTTCAAATAAGCTTTATTGCCCAAAAATTTCACAATTTCATTGCAAAGCAAAAAGGAATGTCTTAGTTAATACTTAAAATTAATGCAATACCCAATAATTCAAACTGAACAAACACAAGAACAGTTTGACAGTTTAAAACACATTACAACATTTACATTAACTGACATTATTTATAAACTATAACACCACATTCATTCTTCATAAAATTCAGTAAGACCAGATAGTTTTTTACAGAGATACGGAACCTCTCATAGCAGTCCCTACTAGACCGTCAGATAGTGAATGGCAATATGAGAGTCAAATTTCAGCTGTGTGTTAATGTACAACCCAAGAAATTTCACGGTTGTTCTATTTCCAGGGTTTCGCTTTCTAGTCTGATGACAGTTAAAGAGCACTTAATAAAGAGCACTTAAAAGTGAGTATGTTTGTCTTTTGTACGTTAAAACACAATATATTTGTGTCACACCATCTCTTTATTTCGGAGAGATCGTTTTCGATGGTTGTCTGAAAATCGTCTAGAGTCTTTGGAGTCCACAGACCGGTAGCATTATCTGCGAAAGCCGTGAATTCTCCCGAAATTGCAAGGGATAGTAGGTCATTGACGTAGAGTAGGAAAAGAATGGGTCTCAACACAGACGCCTGCGGCACACCATGGATAATCTCAGCCGTATCAGAATCAGCCCCATTCACTCGGACGAACTGGCATCTACCCGAGAGCATTGACCTGAACCAGTCCGAAGGTGTTCCACGGATGCTACAAAACACCGCTGCAGCCACCTGTCGATCATTCAAGCTGATGTATAGTTTTTCCAAGAATGAGAAGATGGCATCATTTGTCCCCCTAGAACTTTGAAAACCAAACTGAATCCGATCAATGAATGCCTCTTCAAAAAATCCACTAGTTGCTCCTCAACAATTTTCTCCATGATCTTCGAGAGGTACTCAATAGAAAAATAGGTCCATAATTCGATGGATCTGAACGGTCCCTCCTCCCTCAAAGATTGGGATTACCACCGCTGATTTCAGACAACGTAGAAGAAATATTCCAGCGCCCAGAGACAAATTAATACAAGAGGCTAGTGCCTCTAGAGCACTGTTTGGCAAGTTTTTCCTGATTTTTGCAGACATATCATCGTTTTCTGAAGCATTCTGGTTTTTAATACTTTTGCAAAGGACAACGCACACCTAACATAAGATTTTTGGGCTCTATGGATTTTGCCCATTTTTTTATATGTTGTAGAGGATTTAATTCTTAAAAACCTTTAAATGGGACGAAATCTTGTAGGTATTACGGTCTTTGAGATATGAGCGTTGAAAGATGAACTTTTCTGCGACTTTTTGTGTAGAGAGTATACGAGAAACTGGTGGTTATCAGTCAAAATTTTTATAGGTCAGCATATTTCACGTCACTAACAACTGTCAACATAGGCTAAGGCCGGGACCGCACTGGCGACAACATTGACTCCAGTGCGGTCCCGGCCTTAACCTATGTTGACATGAATTTTTAAAAGTGACGTAAAATATGTGAACCTGTCAATATTTTGACTGATAAACATCAGTAGCACCAGTATCTCGTATACTCTCCACACAAAAAGTCGCAAAAAAGTTCATCTTTCAACGCTCATATCTCAAAGGCCGTAATACCTACAAGATTACGTCCCATTTAAAGGTTGTTCAGAATTAAATACTCTGCAACATATCAAAAAATGGGAAAAATCCATAGAGCCCAAAAATCCCATGTTAGGTGTGCGTTATCCTTGTCCTGATTCTATGTTTGTTTGTTGTTTTGAAACTGAAGTTTCCTGTGTAATGCCTGTAGATAATCTAAAGGGTGAGTGTTAGAATTTAGATCATCTGCAATTGTTGTGTAAAAAGTATTGAGTTAGTCAGGCTCAACATCAACAAAACTTTTGGATTTTTCTTTTTTTCCTCTAAATTCATTAATCAATTTCTAGTACTCTCTGCTTTTGTTCTCTGCCTTGTTGATTCCGCCTCCTGTAGTGGATTTTTTTTCCTCAATAATAACCTGTCTATTATATGGTTTTGTACCTATTGAAGTACTATATGGAAGCCTGACAGTCGGTAAACTTTCTTAGAGTAGGTATGCAGACAGCTTAAGTTTTTTGAAGAGACCTTGATACCTTTAGTAAACCATTTCTTTTTGTTTTGGCTTTTATTTTTCGCAAATGAAAGCTCTTATTAAGAATTCTTGTAGCACATATATCTGAAAATTTTGTATTGGATCCTGTGTATTCAAACACTGGCTCCAGTTTACAGGGTTTACCAAACTTCTGAAGGTATAAAAGTTTCTTTTGCTGTATATTCTGCATTTTACCAAAGCTTTTTTGGGTAGTTCACCAAACAACGTTAATTCTGCCGCCAAGGCTTCATGGTCTGAAAGTCCTGAGGGTATAACTTTACAATTTAAATCCCCAAAATCAAAGTTACCGCACATATAATCAATAATTTTTTTCTGAATGACTGGTGATGCGTGTTGGTTCGTTCAAAAATAGTTTTAAATTAAATGAGTGTGATAGACTTATCAAAGCTTTGGTATCTCTTGAATCCGCATCATCACAGTCGGTATTAAGATCGCCTGCAAGAATTATCTTTGATGAAAGTGGGAATTTCACTAATTTTGCCAATATTACTTTTTAAATCTGCAAGGTTTTGTGGGTTATTCTCGTAAACAATAAACTTAAGCTAACCCCACAGGAAAAAATCAAGTGGGGTAAGGTCAGGTTTCCAAGGCGGCCATTCGATGTCACCACTTCTTGAAATGACTTTTCCGGGGAACAACTCGTGCAGGGCTTCAATAGAGTTCCTAGTGGTGTGCGACATGAAAGGCATTACGTATAACCATACATTTTAGTTACATAACCAGCTAGCTCAAAAATATGGTAACGAAAGTATCGTCAATAATAATTATACATGGATCACATAGACCTAGGCATTGTTCTTGGTAGAAGCTATCAATAAAAGCCAAGGTTCAAAACAAAGGACAATATTTATTAATACCTATGTAGCTTGGGCAACAGGTAACAATTATACAATTAAACTAAATATGTATCAAGAATAATTTATTAAAAATTATACAGTCGCTTTCAAATGTCAACATATTGATTACAAAAAGACAATTGATCAATTACGCTAAACGATTAAATTTCAGTTATAACTATGAAAAATTATATTTTGGCATGACACTCCCAAATTAAAATATTCAACCAGAAATATACCTAATAAAAACAATCTTCCTTAGAAATAATATTAAACTCTTGAGCATCATTATATGTAAGAAATAAAATAAACCGGGTATACGTTACTCGATCCTGCTGATGAAATAAAAACAGCAACCAGCCTGGAAAGGGTGAGAAACGTCAACCAACATTACAGCTACATCAGCTGCTACCCATTCGCTACGTGCTTTGCGCACCAAACATTAGACAGATACCGGAACAAGACACCACCAAAAACCCTAGAAAGGTATTCAGCCTTAGTTCCAGAACTAAATTAAATACCAACTAGATAGGTGGTAGACGCTTTTTACTCATTGGGCGTCGACCGGTGAGATACCACCATGCCAGAATTGAGTAGCGCTAAGTGGTATCACCACGTTCCGCTACTGCGCTGGCAGTCCGGTTTCAACAATGAGTAACAGATAGCATGATGGCGCCTCCAGGATCAAAATATTCCGGAGGTAAAATACCCGACCACTCGGATCTCCGGGCGTCGGGTGATCCTGGGGGTCCTTCATGCAAAGATATAACGAGAAGATCAAAAACTCAACTCAGAATTGATTTTAGCAATATAAGAGGAATAAGTACAAATATGAATTCAGTTCACCAACATCTTGAAGAACAAAGACCTGACATCCTTGTTCTCACTGAAACTAAAATCAGTTCTGCAACACCTATTGTGAACTATCTTTATCCCGGCTA